CAAAATTGACAAACCTTTATTTAGATTGACCAAGAAGAGAACACCCAAATTACTAAAGTCAGAAATCAAAGTGGGGACATTGGTAGCAACTTTGCAGAAGTCAAAGAGGTTATAAGAGAATACAATGTAGAAATGTATGCCAATGAATTAGAAAACCTAGATGAAATATATTCCTAATAAGACACAAACTGGCAAACTGACTCAAGAGAAAAAGAATATCTGAGTTGATCTATTAACTAAAAACATTTAGCTAGCAACCAAAAACTTCCCACAAAGAAAAGCCCAGGACCAGATGACTTCACTAGTGAATTCTATCAAATACTTAAAAATTAATGCTAGTAAGTTCTTCAAGATTCTTCAAAAACTTCAAATTCTTCAAAAACTCTTCCAAAAAGTAAAAGAGGAAGAAAAAGTCCCCAACTCATTTTATGAGGCCCACGTTACCCTAATATCAAAACCAGACAAAAACATCACAAGAAAAAACTACAGATCAACATCCCTCATGAATATGGGTGCAAAAAATCCTCAACAGAATACTAGCAAACCAAATCCAGCAGCATATAAAAAAGGATTATACATCATGACCAAGTGGCATTTCTTCCAGGAATTCAAGGTTGGCTCAACATGCTAATATCAATCAGTTTAAGACATCATTTTAACAGATTAGAAGACAAAAACCACACGATAATCTGAATAGATACAGAAAAAGCATGTGATAAAATCCAACACCCTTTATAATAAAGACACAACAAATTAGGAATGGAAAGAAACTTTCATAACTTGGTAAAGGGTATCTGTGAATAAACTTATAGAGAAACAGAAAGCTAACATCATATTGAGTGATCAAAGACTGAAAGCTTTCCCCCCTCCCCCCAAAAATCAGGAATGAGACAAGAATGTTACCTTTATTACTTCTATGCAATATTGTTCTAGAACTAGTTGGGGCAGCTAGGCAAGACAATGAAATAAGAGGCATCCAACTTGGAAAAGAAGGAGTAAAAAAGACTTCTTTTTGGTGATGACATGATTTTATATAGAGAAATCCCTAAAGAATCTACAAAAAAAACCTATTAGGACTAATACATGAATTCAGCAAGGTTACAGGATACAAGATCAATGTGCAAAAATCAGTTGTATTTCTGTATGCTAGCAACGAACAATCTGAAAATTAGGAAAGCCATTCCATTCACAATAGCGTCAAAAAAATTTTTTTTAATCCAAGAATGGCAAGACTGTATATACACAAACATTTTTGAAAGAAATGAAAGACCTACATAAATGGAGAGACATTCCATATTCATAGTTTATGAAAATGTTTATGAAGTATTAAGAAGACTTAATATTATTAAGATAGTGACACTTAAAAATGATCTACAGATTCAGTGCAATCGGTGTCAAAATTCCAACTGTCACTTTTGCATAAATGGCCACACTGATCCTAAAATTTATATGAAAATTCAAAGTACCCGAAATAGCCAAAAAGTCTTTTAAAAAGAACGAAGTTAGAGGACTCATACTTTTCAGTTTCAAATTTTACTATGAAGCTACAGTAGTGAAGACTGTGTGGTACTGACGTAAGGATAGACATATAGATCAATGGACTAGAATTGAGAGTCCTGAAATAAGCACATACATTTATGGCCCATTGATTTTCAACACAGGTGCCAAGACCATTCAACTGGGGAAAGAATGGTCCCTTCCAGATGGTGCTGAGATAACTGCATAGCCACATGCAAAAGAATGAATTTGGACTCCTACCTTACACCATATACGAAAAGAGCTAAATGTAAGAGCTAAAACCAAAATTTTCAGAGGGAAATTTAGTTGTAAATCTGTGTAATTTAGGATTAGGCAACCATTTAGATAGGACACCAAAAACACAAAGATCCAAAGAAAAAGTGGATTAGCTGGACTTCATCAAAACTTAAAACTTCTGTGCATCAGGGGCACCTGGGTGGCTCAATCAGTTAAGTGCCTGATTCTTGATTTCGGGTTAGGTCATGATCTCACGGTTCGTTAGTTCAAGCGCCGTGTGGGGCTCTGCACTGGCAGTGTGGAGCCTGCTTGGGAGTCTCTCTGTCCCTCTCTGTCCCTCCCCTGCTCTCTCTCTTTCTCAAAATAACTTAAAAAATAAAAATTTAAAACTTCGCATCAGATAAGCAAGATAAGTCAGTCATAGAAAGATAATACCATATGATTTCATTCATATGTGGAATTCAAGAAACAAAACAAATGAGCATAGAGGAAGGGAAGGACAAATAAAATAAAAAAAGCAGAGAAGGAGGCAAACCACAAGAGACTTTTAATGATAGAGAACAAATGGAGGGTTGCTGGAGGGGAGGTGAATAGAGGGATGGGTTAAATGGGTGATGGGTATTAAAGAGGGTACTTGTGATCAGCGCTGGGTGTTGTATGTAAGTAATGAATCACTGAATTCTACTTCTGAAACCAATTTTACCCTATATATTAACTAACTTGAATTTAAATAAAAATCTCAAAAGAGAAAAAAAAAGAATTAGAAATTTGTTATAAAGAAAAGGCAGATTTTTTTTTTTTACAAATAAAGTAAGTACCAAAAAACAAAACAAAACAACAACAGCAACCCAAAAAACTGTGCATCAGAGAACATCATCAAGAAGGTGAAAAGACAACCCACAGAATGGGAGAAAATATTTACAAATCCGATACCTGATAAGGATCTTCTGTCTGGAATATGTAAAGGACTCTTAAAACTCAACAGCAAAAAGCTAAAGACTCAGTTAAAAAATGGTCAGAAGATTTGAATACACAATTCTCCAAAGAAGATCTACAAATGGCCAATAAGCACATGAAATGATGCTGAACGTTTTTGTTAAGGAAATGCAAAATAAAATCACAATGAGATACTACTTCACACACACTAAAATAGCTTTAATTTAAAAAAAGAGAATAGCAAGTGTTGGCAAAGATACAGAAAACCGAACCCTTCATATATTGCTGGTGGGCTATAAAAGTGTACAGCCTCTGTGGAAAACATTTTGGCAGTCCTCAAAAAGTCAAACATAGAGTTACTATATGACCCAGCAATTCCATTCTTAGGTATGTGCTCAGAGAATTGAAAACATACATTCAGTCTAGAATGATGGAGATGTGAGTTGTGTCCGTTTTTCTCTGCAAGTAATAATATGTTCACATGTAGTCTGCAGTTTTGTGCATACGTTGTGCAAATTCTTAAATGAGAATTGCTTGAACAAGGGTCATGCATATGTATCAATTTGCTAGACATCACCATAAAACCATCCAAAATTTTTGCGTGAGAGTTCTCCTCTTCCCACACTATTAAAATATTAAAATTTCAAACTTTAAAATAAAAGAAAACATATGTTCACACAAAAACTTGTATACAAGTATTCATAGCAGCATTATTCATCATAGCCAAAAAGTAGAAGTAACTCAAATGTCCACCAACTGATGAATGGATAAACATTAAAAGTGATACAGCCACACAGTGGAATATCATTCAGTCGTACAAAGGAATAAAATATTGATAAATGCTATGAAATGGATGAACTTTGCAAACATCATGCTAAGTGTAAGAAACCAGACCCAAAAGGTCCCATGTTATCTGTTAACATTTATATGTAATGTCCGAAAGAGGGAAACACAGAGAGAAAGTAGATTAGTGGTTTCTGGGCATCAGTGGGTGGAGAGAAAAATGAGGGGACTGGCTAGAGCAAATGGGTTTTTTTTTTTTTT